CCCTCCTACTTCTTTAAAACATCTCTCAATAAATACGTATGTTTGATAGCCACTGGGACTGCAGTCTTGAGCTGGCTCTGACTGTAGTTGGCTGAGAACATGCTAAAGAGCATTGAGGTCTCAGTCTGATTCCTTCTCACCTGCGTCACCTTCCTGTGTACGAGCTTCAACCCACCCCAGCTGGAGCAGGTCTCCGGTAAGTGTATATAAATTCTATAGGTTTTTTGTATGTTTATTTTGTATCCTGACACTACTGTATTTCTTTATCACTTATTGGAAGTTTTTTGTGAATTCTTTTGGATTTGCTATGTATAGAATCATATTATCTGCAAACAGGGATCATTTCACTTCTTTTCCTATTTGAATCTCTTTTAATTGACTCTCTTGTCTGATTACAATGGCTAGAATTTGTAGTACTATGTTGAAAAGAAGTGGAGAAAGTGGCCAGCCTTGTCTTACTATCTTTTTTAGTGGAAAAGCTTTCAGTGTTCCCCTATTTAGTATGCTGTTAGTAGGGGAAAAATAATATCTGACTAGACCCTTCACAATTAATAAGATGAATTAAATAACATATAGTCTCCCAATAAAGAAAAGCCAGGTCCTGATGGCTTCACTTCTGAATTCTACAAAACTTTTAAAGAGGAATTAACCCCTATTGTTCTCAAACTGTTTCTAAAGATCCAAAAGGAAAGAACCCTTCCAAATTGACTCTATGAAACCTCTATCATCCTATTCCAAAAACAGATAAAGATATAACAAAAAGAAAACTACAGGCCAATATCCCTGATAAATACAGATGCAAAAATTCTCAACAAGATACTCACAAGTTATATCCAACAACTCATTAAAAAGATTATACCCCATGACCATGTAGGTTTTATTCCAGGGATGCAAGGTTGGTTCAACATATGAAAACAATAAATGTAATACATCCCATTAACAGAAGGAAAGATAAAAATCATATAATCATATCAATCAATGCAGGAAAAGCATTTGATAAAATACAACATCCCTTCATGATTAAGCCTCTCTGCCAAATTAGCATGAAACTGACATTCCTCAACACAATCAAAACCATCTATGACAAATTCATATCTCACATTGATAATGCATTTGCTTAAATTTTTGCTTAATTACTCCATCACTTGCTCAAAATAACATTGACACAATCAAAATGACAATTCTACCCAAATTAATCTACATATTTAATGCAATGCCAATCAAAGTACCAGACACATCCTTCACAGACCTAGAAAAGACAATCATAAATTTGTCTGGAATCATAAAAGACCCTGCATTGCCAATATAATTCTACACAAGAAGAGTGGAGTGGGTGGCATCTCACTCCCTGACCCAAAAATATACTACAAAGCTGTGGTAATCAAAACAGCATGGTACTGGCACAGAAACAGACATGTGGACCAATGGAACAGAATAGAGTCCCCAGAAATAAATGTCCAAACATACAGTCAACTGATCTTTGACAAGGGGTACCAGTCAATCCAGTGGGAAAAGAAAAGCCTCTTCAGTAAGTGGAACTGGAAAAACTGAATTTCCACTTGCAGAAAGATGAATCTGAACCCCTACCTCTCACCTTTGACAAAAGTCAAGTCAAGGTTGATCAAGGATCTAAATCTAAGACCTCAAATTATACAGCTGCTCCTGGAAAACACTGGGGAAACTCTGGGAGACACTGGTATAGGGAA